CGCCCTGCGCGCGGGGCGGGGAGGGGGACAGGCGGGGGTGGGGGTGGGGGGCGCCCTGCGCGCGGGGCGGGGAGGGGGACAGGCGGGGGGTGGGGGGGACGCTGCCCGGCCCGGCCGCCGTGGGCCTGCCCGCCCCTCCCGGCCCCGCCCCTCCCCACTCCCCGCCCACACCCCAACTGGGAGCTATGGCCTCAGGCACTATGCAAATCAGGGATCCTGGTTTCTGCCAATCAGAGGGCGCCTCTCCGGCCCCGCTCCCCGGCCCGCCCGCGCTGGCCCCGCCCCGGGCGCCCGCGGACTTAGCCCGTGGAATGGGGACGACTCGGTTTCCTATTCGCATGGTCCATGAATGGCTTCTCTTTGTTTCCCTCTTGGTCACCGGGGCACTGCACCCTGGGGGGGACGGTGGGGCTGCGTGCTGGGTGGCTGCGCGCTGGGGGGGCTGCGTGCTGGGAGGGGCTGCGCTCTGGGGGGGCTGCGCCCTGGGGGGGCTGCACTCTGGGGGGGCTGCGCCCTGGGGGGGCTGCACTCTGGGGGGGCTGTGCCCTGCGGGGACTGTGACCTGGGGTGGCTGTGCCCTGGGGGGCTGCGCCCTGGGGGGGCTGCGCTCTGGGGGGGCTGTTCTCTGGGGGGGCTGCGCTCTGGGGTGGCTGCACCCTGGGGTGGCTGCGCCCTGGGGGGGGCTGTGCCCTGGGGGGACTGTGACCTGGGGGGGCTGCACTCTGGGGGGGCTGCACTCTGGTGGGGCTGAGCTCTGGAGGGGCTGTGCTGAGGGGGCTGAGCCCTGCGGGGGGTCCTGCACTCTAGGGGTCTTGGCTCCGGCCCTGAGCTGCCCCCTCCAGCTCTCTTGCTAGAGGCTGGTGCTCTACCACTTGAGTTGCACAGCTCCATGCTTGCTCTTGGCTGGTTAGCCTCGGGGACTTCCCTGCCTTGCCTGACTGGAAGCCCGATCCTCAGATCTCAGCCTCTGTGGACCCAGGAGTACAGGGGCCCAGGGCAGTGGAGTCTTAACACAAAACAAAAGTGTTCAAAGGTGTGACTAATCTTCATTTACCTTATACTTGAACCATGCCTCCACTCCAACTTCTTGCTGCTAACTGTAGGTAATAAACTCAGGGGCAGGGACTTTTCTGCCTGGGTTGGTGTTGAATCAGGATACTCAGGTCTCAGCCTATTGAAACATCCGGGATTACTGGCCTGATCCACCAGCACACAGCTGAGCTGTACTTTAGATAGGCATCATGTTGCAGCAAATGCATTCCTATATAAGAACATATTGGGCTGGGAAGATGGCTCAGTGGTAGAGCGCTTGCCTTACATGCCTGAGGCCCTGGGTTCGATTCCTCAGCACCACATAAGCAGGAAAAAAAAAAGCCAGAAGTGGCGCTGTGGCTCAAGTGGTAAAGCACTAGTCTTGAGCTGAAGAGCTGAGGGACAGTGCCCAGGCCCAAAGTTCAAGGCCCACAACTGACAAAAGATAAGAGGGCTGGGAAGGTGGCTCAGTGGTAGAGTGCTTGCCTTGCATGCCTGAGGCCCTGGGTTCAATTCCTCAGCACCACATAAGCAGGAAAAAAAAAGCCAGAAGTGGCGCTGTGGCTCAAGTGGTAGAGCACTAGCCTTGAGCTGAAGAGCTGAGGGACAGCGCCCAGGCCTGGAGTTCAGGCCCCACGACCGACCAAAAAAGAAACGACATATTGCTTATAGGTTCAGGTTTCATACATGCAGTCCTCAGAAACTTTTCTAAGTCACCAGCTTTACTACTGTCAGATTGCGTTTCAGATTTTCACTTGTTTTAGAGTTACTTGAATCTTGCCAATGTGTAATGCACTTTATCAGCGTAGTGCTTTGTCTCTTGTCCTCTAGGTTTTGTTTGCTTGTTTGTTCTTTGTGCCAGTCCTGGGGCTCGAACTTAAGGCCTAGGCACTGTCCCTGAGCGTTCTTGCTCAAGGTTAGGGCTCTATCACTTGAGCTACAGCACCACTTCTGGCCTTTTCTGTTTATGTGGTAAGGAGGAATCGAACCCAGGGTTTTATGCATGCTAGGCAAGTACTCCATCACTGAGCCACATTCCCAGCCTCAAGGATGCATCTCTGCTACCTGTACTTCTGCATGGAACCTGGGAACTGGGGGGAGCCCTCCTTCCTGCCCCAGACCCACACCCATGGTGGGCTCTGGAGTAGAAAATCCTCCTGGATGTGGTTGGCCCTGTTGTCCTGGGCCCTGACGGGGCTCTGACCGCCCTTGGGATGCTGTTGACTGGCTCTCCTGCCTGTGTGTGAATCCTCAGCGGCCCTCTCTCCCATCCCAGCCTGGCACAGTCCTGAGGATCCAGCCAGGAGTGACTGACTGTGGAGGAGTCCTTCCATGTGGGATCTCTTTTTATCAGCTCCTCAAGACTTACTCCTTCCACCTTGCAAGTGGCGTGTGGTCCTGGCAGTGTCTGTGGGAGACTGGGGTGCGGATGGAGATAAATGTTTTTCCCCAAAGCCTGCCTGAGATCTTGAAGTGGCTTATGAGGCTAGTTTGTTAGCAGGTGAGTAAATCTCTGCCAGGCACTGGTGGCTCACACCTGTAATCCTAACTACTCAGGAGGTGGAGATTTGAGGATCTGAGGATCGTGATTTGAAGCCAGTGTGGGCAGGAAAGTCTGTGAGACTCTTACCTCCAATGAATCACCAGAAAACCAGAAGTAGGGGGCTGGGAAGGTGGTTTAGTGGTAGAGTGCTTGCCTTGCATGCATGAAGTGCAGGGTTCAGTTCCTCAGTACCACATACACAGAAAAAGCCGGGAGTGGCGCTGTGGCTCAAGTGGTAGAGTGCTATTCTTGAGCAAAATAAGCCCAGGGACAGTACCCAGACCAGCTCTGTCTCACACACACCAATCTTTCTTTGCTCCTTTTTTTTTTTTTTTTTTGGGTCTGCTGTGGGGCTTGAACTCTGGGCCTGGGCGCTGTCCCTCAACTCTTCAGCTTCCTGTTTTCTGGTGGTTTATAGGAGATAAGAGTCTCAAGGACTTTCCTGCCTGGGCTGGCTTTGAGCTACGATGGTCAGATCTCAGCCTCCTGCTTAGCTAGGGTCGCAGACATGAGCCACCATGCCTGGCTTTCTTCATTCCTCTTGAGATAAGGAAACTGAGAGCAGACTAAAAGCCCCTGGTAGAGCCAGGCCCACCACCTGACCCAGCCTTGTGGGTTAGGTGGGATGAGGGTGCCTGGGCAGGGGGCCCTTGGCCATTTCATAAACCCATTGCCTCCAGCCACATTGGGCAGCAAGCTTTCCTCCGAGTGCTCCGCTGCCTTCTGTAGCCACTGGAACCAAGGCTCCTTCCAGGGCAAAACAGGAAAGAAGCAAAGAGGCTCATGTTTTGTGAACATGGCCCAGAGTCAGGTACGCTCTGACATGGACCACGGCGGGTGTCCTAGGGACAAAGCTGTGGGCTTTGCACACATCCCTCCCAGGCAGCAGCCAGAGGGTTCAGTGGAGCTGTGTGGCCTTCACACAGCCCAGGACAGCATCCAGGACCCAGAGCCCCAGAGCACAAGGCCCACACAGCACGAGTCCACGGCTTTGTCCCAGGTGCTCTCAGAGATGCAGATGACCAGACAAGGCAGGTGTTTTGGTCAGCCCAGTGGGGTTCAGTGAGCAAGCTGGAGTGGCCGGTGACCCTGGGCAGGGCATGGGAAGAGCCCCCAGCTCTAGCCCTGGCTCCAGATGGGGCTGGGTGGACACAGGGCTCCTGGAGAACTTGGACTGCAAGGACAGACTCCATCTTCGACCTCAGGGCCTCTGCTCCACAGTGAGCAGAGCACCCCTCCCAGCGCAGCCTGGACAGCCCTAGGGAGGCCTGGACAGCCCCAGGGAGCCTGGACAGCCCCAGGAGACCTGGACAGCCCCAGGGAGGCCTGGACAGCCCCAGGAGGCCTGGACAGCCCCAGGGAGGCCTGGACAGCCCCAGGGAGGCCTGGACAGCCCCAGGGAGGCCTGGACAGCCCCGGGAGGCCTGGACAGCCCCAGGGAGGCCTGGACAGCCCCAGGGAGGCCTGGACAGCCCCAGGGAGGCCTGGACAGCCCCAGGGAGGCCTGGACAGCCCCAGGGAGCCTGGACAGCCCCAGGAGACCTGGACAGCCCCAGGGAGGCCTGGACAGCCCCAGGAGGCCTGGACAGCCCCAGGGAGGCCTGGACAGCCCCAGGGAGGCCTGGACAGCCCCAGGGAGGCCTGGACAGCCCCGGGAGGCCTGGACAGCCCCAGGGAGGCCTGGACAGCCCCAGGGAGGCCTGGACAGCCCCAGGGAGGCCTGGACACCACCAGGAGACCTGGACAGCCTCAGGGGGCTCAGGACTCCGCCTCATGTCTGCTCCCCTTCTAGCCACCCCCACCCCCTTGCTTCACTTGCTCCTCCTCTTGGGGTCTGGGCAGCTGCTGTCATTCTGGGGACAATCTGTGGACAACATGGTGTCCACCCAGCCTCCTCTCCTTCGGCAGGACCGGTCGGTGAGCCGCGGACCTAGGGCTCAATTCAGGCTGGGACCCATCAGGCCCCGGCCCCAAGCGTGGCCCACCGGGGAATTGGCCATTCTTTACTGGACCTCCCTCCTTGCCCCCCTCCCCCGCCGGACCGAGCGCCCCCCTCCCTGCCCCTTCCCCCCTCCCCCCCGCCGGACGGAGCGCGCCCTCCCCCAGCCCGCCCCGCCGGACCGAGCGCCCCCTCCCCGTCCCCCGCCCGCCCCGCACAGGACCACCAGATGCTCGGAGGCTGAACTCTTTATTGCGCCGCGGAGGCCGCGCGGAGGCCGGGGAGGCCGCGGGCGCGGCCGGCCCGTTGGCGCCGCCGGGCTGGTAACCATGGCGACGGCTTTTACCGAGGGCGCGAGCCAATAGGACGTCGCCGGGGCCGTTTCAAACACCCGGAGCGAGCGGCGGGCGGCGGCGGCGCGGGGGAGGGGGGCGCCGGGGCCGCGCGAGCCCGGTCCGGGCCCCCGGGACGGGCGCCGGCGCCCGCTCACTTGCGGGTTCGGGGCGCGCCGGGCTTGGCCGCCTTCTTCGCCTTCTTGGCCCCGGCGGGCGCCGCCTTCGGGGCCGCGGCGCCCTTGCCCGGGGCGGGCGCGCGCCGCTCGGGCCGGGCCGGGCCGGGCCTGGAGTCCGCGCGCCCGGCCTGCGGCGCGGCGGCCTTGGCGGCGGCGGCGGGGGCGCCGCGGGCCGCGCCGGCCTCCAGCTTCTTGCGGTTGAGCTTGAAGGAGCCGTTGGCGCCCGAGCCGCGCACCTGCAGCAGCGTGTCGTTCTGCACCAGCGCGCGGACCGAGTACTTGAGGTAGGTGCGCCCGTTCTGCTGGTCGAACCACGGCAGCTTCTTGGCCTCGGCGTGGATGCGCGCCAGCGAGGAGCCGCCGCGCTCGCCCAGCCGCCGGATCGTCTCCACCACCAGCTGGCTGTAGCGGCCCGGCTGGTTCTTCTTGCGGCTCCTCCGCTTCCGCGCCGGGGCGGTGGGGCCTCCGCGGGCCGCCGCGCGCGCGCCCTCGGCGCCGGTGGGCGGCAGGGCCTCCTCCAGCTCCACCGACATGGTGGCCAGCGGGTTGGCGGCGGGCGGCGCGCGGGCGCCGGGGGGCCGCGCCGGGAAGAGGAAGGCAAGGGGCCGGGGCGGCGCCGCGGGGCCGGGGGCGCGCGGCGGCTCCGGGCGGGAGCGGCCGCGGCCGGGCCTGGGCCCGGGCGGCAGGGCTGGGGCGGGCGGGGAGGGGCGCGCGGGCCGGGGTCCCGCCGGGGACCGGGGCGGGCGGGCCGGGGCGAGGCCGAGCGAGCTGCGCGGAGCCGGGGCGCGCGCCGCGTTCTGGCGAGGACGGCGCCCCGCCCCGCTTTTATTGCCTCTCGGCGGACCGCGTTGAGAGCACCAACAGCCGGGGCCCGGCCCGCGCCCGCCGAGAGCTTCCTGGGGCCCTTCCGGGGCCGCCCGCCCCCCGGCCCGCGCCCGCCCGGCCTCGGGGCGCGGCGGCCAGCGTCGAGGGGCGCGGGACGGGGGGGCGCGGGACGGGGGGGCGCGGGGCGGCGGAGGTCACGGGGCCGTGCGGAGGGCGCGGGGCGGAGGGCGCGGGGCGGAGGGCGCGGGGCGGAGGGCGCGGGGCGGCGGAGGGCGCGGGGCGGAGGAGCGGGGGGGGGGGGGGCGCGGGACGGCGGAGGAGGGGGGGCGGAGAAGGGGGGGCGCGGGACGGCGGAGGAGCGGGGGGGCGCGGGACGGCGGAGGAGCGGGGGGGGCGCGGGGCGGAGGAGGGGGGGCGGAGGAGGGGGGGCGCGGGGCGGAGGAGCGGGGGGGGGGCGCGGGGCGGCGGGGGGCGCGTGCTGGAGGGCGCGGGGCCCGGCAAAGGGACAAGGGCTGGGGATGCGGGGCCGGGGCTACGTGGCCCCCGCTGGATCCGGGCCGCCCGAGGCCCGGCCGGCTGCGGCCCTGGGGCCTGAGCGGTGCCACGGCCCCACGCAAGAAACTTCCGCGTGGGGCGGGCCGCGCGATGGCGGCGGGGAGGGCGCGGGGCGCGGCGGGGAGAGCGCGGGGCGCGGCGGGGAGAGCGCGGGGCGCGGGGCGGAGGCCGGCCGTGGGGAGAGCGCGGGGCGGAGGGCGGGGGGGGGGGGGGGAGGCGCGGCGGGGAGGAGGCCGGCTGCGGGGAGAGCGCCGGGCGCGGGGCGCGGGGCGGAGGCCGGCCGTGGGGAGAGCGCGGGGCGGAGGGCGGGGGGGGGGGGGGGGCGGAGGCGCGGCGGGGAGGAGGCCGGCCGCGGGGAGAGCGCGGGGCGCGGGGCGGAGGCGCGGCGAGGAGGAGGCCCACGGCCTGGGGTCCCCACGCAGCCCCGCCCGCCCTGGGTCGGCCGTTCTGGGCCCCACAGGCTGCGGGGCGGAGCGGCTGCGGCCCAAGGCCCCGCAGAAAATCCGTGTTTTCTCTTCCAGAAAGACGCAGCTCTTGGGACCAGGAGGACCGGGACCGCGCAGGCCGAGGATGGACACCGAGGACCTTCCCATCCTTTGTGCTGGGTGTGAGCGTCCGCGCGTGTGTCCGCGTCCGCGTCCTGGGGTGTGTGACCGTGTCCGTGTCCGCTGTGCCCGTGTCCATTCGTCTCCATAGCTGTGTCCATGTCCACATCCTGGGCACTGTCCCTGAGCTTTGGCTCCAGGCTGACCCTCACCGACCCTCACCAGCCCTCACCGACCCTCACCGGCCCTCACACGACCCTCACATGGCCCTCACCGACCCTCACCGACCCTCACCGACCCTCACCGACCCTCACCGGCCCTCACACGGCCCTCACCGACCCTCACACGGCCCTCACCGGCCCTCACACGGCCCTCACCAGCCCTCACCGACCCTCACACGGCCCTCACCGACCCTCACACGGCCCTCACACGGCCCTCACCGGCCCTCACACGGCCCTCACCAGCCCTCACACGGCCCTCACACGGCCCTCACACGGCCCTCACCGACCCTCACTGACCCTCACACGGCCCTCACACGGCCCTCACACGGCCCTCACACGGCCCTCACCAACCCTCACGCTGCCCTCACCGACCCTCACTGACCCTCACGCTGCCCTCACCGACCCTCACTGATCCTCACCGACCCTCACTGATCCTCACCGACCCTCACTGATCCTCACCAACCCTCACTGACCCTCACCGACCCTCACTGGCCCTGGCGCTGCCCTCACCAACCCTCACTGACCCTCACTGGCCCTGGTGCTGCTCTCTGAGAGCCCTGTCACCTGTTGCCCTGTTCTGAGCGTGAGCCCGTTTGCAACCCAGTGTAAAATAAACCCGAGGTCAGTTTCTCTGGGAGCGGCTTGGTTTGTCTCAGTCTCCTTCCTCAGCCTTTTGGGAGGCCGAGGTCTTTAAGCAGAAAGTTCAGGTCCAGAATCCAGGTAAAACACACACACGCACGCACGGGACCGTGCCTGCAAGGTGGCACTCAGAGAAAAATGTCTGTCAGAGACTGCACAGTTTGAGTAGACTACTCTGAAAATGCAAGGTGCTGGGCTGGGAAGGTGGCTCAGTGGTAGAGCGCTTGCCTTGCATGCCTGAGGCCCTGGGTTCGATTCCTTAGCACCACATAAGCAAAAAGAAAAAAGCCAGAAGTGGTGCTATGGCTCAAGTGGTAGAGTGCTAGCCTTGAGCTGAAGAGCTGAGGGACAGCGCCCAGGCCCAGAGTTCAGGCCCCACGACCAGACCCCCCCCAAAAAAAAGCAAGGTGCTTACTGGTCCAGCAGCACGGAGGATGCAGAGCCTCGAAGGGGAGGGACATCAAGGTGGGCATCAAGCCCACCCAGGCCAAAGCCAGGTCAGTGAACACGGCCATGTGGGTGTGGTTGTTGAGCCAGGAAGCAGAGCACTGAGCTGGGTGTGGGGTGGAAAGGCAGGCGGTCCCTGTCAGGTAAGGGAGGTCACTGGACTGGCTAGTCAAGGAGCAGGGCCAGGGTGCTGAGTCAGAGTTGGAGGTGAAGATCCCGGACCGAGGTCAGCTCCCTGGAAGCACCGCCCTGGAGGAGGTAGAGCGTCCCTGTTTTCTGTGGGGCAGGGAAGAGTTAAAGTCCGTTCCTTTAAGCCCACGGTGTACTGGGGACCGGTGGAAACGGAGGGAAGCCAGGGCAGGAAGCTGAGAAGTTCAAGAGTGTAACTCTGGTCCCTCACAGGGCATGGCAGGTCCGGCAGAGCTGAGGGGACACCAGGCTCCCAGTACCCTGCCCAAGACCCTGCAAACTCTGTGCTTGCACTTGGTGAAACATAGTTCCAGGATTTAAGCTCAGGTGATGTCAAAGACTTCAGCCTGCATTCCCCAGTTCCCTCAATATAGGCCAGAGGGTAGGGCGGAAGGTGGGAGGCTGAGCCCTGGGAAGCCTGGCCAGGCCAGAGGGAGAGCCGCACCGCGCACTTGAGTCTGCGCCCGCTCTATGGCCAGCGTGCTCTTCTCCAGCTCCCTGAACAGGTGGGAAAGAGGCCTGGGGGCCGCAGCGCTCAGCCCCACCAGACACATGGGTGGGGATCCTGCCAGCCTAGAGATACTTCACCAACCATGCTCCTGGGTGCCACTCGCCATGAGCCCACAATGGAAGCCGGAGGAGGGGTTCCCAAAAAGCCAATAAAGAACGGGAGGAGTGGGGGGGGAATGGAGCGTTGGGCAGTCAGCAGGGCCCAATAGGGCCCGCCCGCTCACGGGGCCGGGGAGCCCCTTCCCCTGTGCAGTGTGGAGGGTCCGGGGATCCCGCTCGGTTCCGAGGGGTCTGTGTGGCTGATGTTTCCGTGCTGTGCCTAGCTGAGTCCCGTCCATGTCCTGATGATGCCTTCTCCCTCTGCAGCAACATCCGAGGCCGACTTCCAGCCAGCACTGCAGTTTTCGTGGTCTTTTCCCTCCATGCTAGCCAGACGGTCAGTCGCGCTAGCAGCTTGGGGTCTCCCTCAGGGCACCTCCGTCTCTGGTGAAATGTCTGGCTGAGGGGCCTCCCATCCCAGTTTTCTTATGGACTGTGAGCTCTTATTATTAAATTTTTTAGAAGAACTTGCTATTTTGCCCAAACTCGTGTCATTCAAGCTCAAGGCTAGTGCTCTTCAAACAACTTTTCTTGTTTGGGGGGCCGGTTGTGGGTCTTGAACTCTGGGCCTGGGCGCTGTCCCTGAGCTCTTCATTTGAGCCACAGCACCACTTCCGGTTTTCTGGTGGTTAATGGGAGATTAAGAGTCTCATGGACATTCCTGCCCGGGCTGACTTTGAACCATGATCCTTAGATCTCAGCCTCCTGAGTAGCTAGGGTTACAGGCGTGAGTCATCAGCACCTGGCTTCAACTTTTTTAAGAGCGGTCTGGGTCTGGGAGGGGCTAGAAGGCCTCTGACCTGTGGGAGGGCTGGATGCCACTAGGCCCCAGGCACTGGATCAAACCAGAGAGCCTTCCAGAAAATACCTTTTATTTACTGCTACTATCTGCTGTCCTGCTCTGAGGGTTTTGTTGTTTTTCCTGTCAGTCAGGGGCTTAAACTCAGGGCCAGGGCACTGTCCTGAGCTCTTTTTGCTCATGGCTAGTGCTGTACCACTTTGAGTCACAGCATCACTTCCTGTTTTCTGGTGGTTCATTGTAGACAAGAGTCTCATGCACTTTCCTGCCTGGGCTGGCTTTGAATCAGGATCCTCAGATCTCAGCCTGCTGAGTAGCTGGGATGACAGGCGTGAGCCAGCAGCGCCCAACCTTTTTTTTTTACATTTTAATTTTTTATATTTATCTATCTTGGGTCCGGACGTGGGGCCCAAACTCTGGGCCTGGGCGCTGTCCCTCAGCTCTTCAGCTTAAGGCTAGTGCTCTACCACTTGAGCCACAGTGCCACTTCCAGCTTTTTTCTTTTTGCTTATGTGGTGCTGAGGAATCGAACCCAGGGCCTCAGGCATGCAAGGCAAGTGCTCTACCACTGAGCCACCTTCCCAGCCCCAGGTATCTATTTTTTTCTACATTCTATTTTTTATTCTCTTGTCAAGTGTCAGGTAACTTTAAGTATGTCGCTTTATTTCTGGGTCTTCTAGTCTGTTCCACTGGTGTTCAGGCCTGCTTTTGTGCCAACATTGAAATGTTTTTGTTATGATAGCTCTGTAGTAGAGTTTCAGCCTAGGATCATGATACCATCAGCTTTCTT